GTGCCTCACTCATGTTCTGGAGAAAAGCCATGTCAAATTGTTCATCCCGTTTAGATACGAGAGCAGCAACTTTTCTGGCAGAGTCCCCACTAGTAGATCTTTTTCCTTTCAGTTCACTTACTCCTTCCTCCAGGAGAGAGGCAGGTTTTTCATCCCACTTCCTCATGTACTGGCTATGGTCTCTCAGATAAAACCACAGGGTACCCCATGAGGGATACCTGTTGTATTCCCTTCTTGGAGGAGAGGAGCACTTGCTTTTGATAGCCAAGACACTGGCCTATGGAGTTGGGGAGCAGAACATCTACTCATGAAGTTACTTAAACTCCTGAGACAGTCTCTCCACAGCTGAGACATAAGCCTGTATGGGGGAGGAGAGATTTTGCTCATACTCTCGGAATCGGCGAATCGTCTCATCTACAGTTGGTGCCTCATCCTCTCTCTAAGTTATTACTGAGAGCACGCTAGAATATGAGGGTGGTGCACTCCACATATCAACTTTTGCCACATGGGTCTAGTGTAGTAAACTTCTTCTGGGTCAGTAGATGCTCCTGGGTTGTTTGGGTCTCGGTAAACAATCTCCAGCACCGCTAGTTCTCTTAGATACTGGCTGCTTTTCTCCATGCTAGTCCATCTGTGTAGCTGTTGTGGCACACTATCTCTAAAAGGTTACCTCTTCTTCACACGGGTTAGGAGTCGTTTCCAGAGGCTGATGTTTTGTGGCCTACATCCAATTGCTTTATCAGTGCCTCCTTCTCCGGCAAGTGATCCCAGCTTTTTAGCTTCTCTCCCCTCCAGCTCCATACTACTGGCTCCATTATCCCAGCAGCAGAGCAGCCAGGTCATATGTTCAGCTGGGCAGCAGCTGAAGTGTCTATGGATGTCCTGTAGCTCCCTCAGGGATAAAGACTGTGTGGTCACAATGGCTTCATCCTCCATCTCTGACTCTTGAGACGGCCTAGCTCCCATCCCCTTATTATTTGTTTCTGTCACCCGGGATGTCCCTGCTACCTCTTATCCTTGACTATGAGGGCTGATTTACATGTGTATTTCCTTTTCTGAACTGCAGCCACTGACAGTAGTTGACCCTGGCAATAGCACACAAAAGTCTGGGGAAGTGAAGCTGCTGTGGGAGAGAGTCTGGCCGTAGTGGGAGGCGGTGACATTGATGCAGGCATGGTGGAGGGTGATGCAGGCATTGAGGGTGATGATTCAGGCATTGGAGGCAGTGATGCAGGTGTGGTGGACTGTGATGCAGAACCTGGGGCCAACGTAGGTGTGGACGTAGGTTTGGTTGCAGCTGTGGTTGCAGCTGCGTGGGCTTGGGTTACCTGTGCTGGTCCGTGCTGCCCCCTTGAGCATTAAAGTGACTCGGGTGGCTGCACAAATTCTGCGACTGCCCTGGGCACTGGTAGTGGATGGGCAGCGTTTCCAAACATTTCCTTAACTTTACCCAAAGCCACTAGAACATTTACTAGCAAGCTGATCCCTCGCCACAGGTCACCCCAATGCCATGAAAAATTTCCAAAATACTCGTATGCCTTTGCCATTGGACCGAGAGGAGAGGGAAAAAATTGAAAAAATTTTCCCACATCCACCCCAGCACCAAATAACCTCTCCTCTATTGGCTGTGTCCCTGCGGTGAAAGAGGGAGAGGTGTAATTGTGGAAATCCTCCAGGAGATAAGTCACGATGTACCAGGGAGCTGACAGTATTAAGTACAGATAGAGTATCCCTGCCAGCATCAGCAGCACACAGAACAGCCTGACCAAAGCCCTAAGCCCAGCTCTCACATAAAAAGTCAACATAATCAGTAACACATAAGGTAGCAGATCCTGCTGTTCTGTCAGCAGCCTGGAAAGCCCCGAACTCAGTGCCTGGATCAGCCACTATCACATTGTTTTCCCAGGCTTGTCACGCACTGTGATCTGTTTCTTCTCTCAACTCTCTCAAGCCCCATGTTGGGTGCCAAAAAGAACTGCCATGGTTTAGCCCTGTCTGGCAATTAAGCACCACCAGTCACTCTTCTACTCGACAAACACCTCCCCGTACTCCCAGTGAGGAAGGGTCAGAGGGAGGTTTGTAAAAGTTGAGATAAGAACTATTTAATTATATAAATGAAACTTATGGAGTTACTGACAATGCTATTGCTAATAAGTAATTAAAAGAACAGAAAAATAGAACAAATGATACAGGATCTCACCACCCGTGGACAGACACAGCCAGGTTCCAGGCAAGGCAGAAAAATAAATCCAAAAACCTCGAGAAAGAAAATAAAACAAAATGGAGGGAGAAAAAAACCCAGGAGCTGAAAGCAGGGAGAAAAAAAAATACCTTCCAACCCATCTCCCTGACAAATGAGACTCCTTCTGTGCTAATCACCCACCACAAGGTCTGAACAAAGACCACGTTTTGCTGCTGGCTGGAACCCACAAGCCGAACCGCACACACCTTCTGGGTCATGCCCACCTTGCAAAAACTGTGCACCTTGCAAACTTCCCCTCCCTACCCCACCGGCTCCCAGTTCCGCTGGTACTGGGGTGATACCAACCACTCAGCTTGATGTATTATGGAGTGAAGCAAAATCTTATAGGCTGGCCCTGGGAGAGCAGCTCATCACTGCCTGGGACTAGGACAGGGGTGTACCATTCTTTCTGCTGAGAAACAGCAGCCATTTATAGCAATCACATTGCTCATCTGATTTTCACTGTGGACTGTTTGAGTTTGGAAACTCTCATCCTCTCATGCCCTCAAGGGCAACAAGAAGGGATTCTGTAGGTACACAGGTGATAAAAGGAAGATCAGAGAAAATATGGGCCCTCTACAGAAGAAAATGGGAGAGCTGGCTTCCCAGGACATCAAGATGGCCGAGGTGCTCAATGCTTTTTTTGCCTCAGTCTTCACTGGCAAGGGCACAAGCCATACCCCCAGAGTCATGGAAGACAAGGGCAGGGATTGGGAGAATGGAGAGCCACCCATGGTTAGAGAGGATTAGGAGCACTTAAGGAACTTAATGTTGCACAAGTCCATGGGACCTGATGAAATACAGTGTCAGGTCCTGAGAAAACTCGCGGATGAGGTTGCAAAACCTCTGTCCATCATATTCAAGAAGTTGTGGCAGTCTGATGAAGTTCCCACTGACTGGAAAAGGGGAAACATAACCCTCTTCATTAACAGGGAAAAAAGGGGGATGCAGGGAACTACAGGTCAGTCCATCTCACCTCTGTGCCTAGCAAGATCATGGAGCAGATCCTCCTGGAAACCATGCTGAGGCACATGGAGAATGAGGAGGTGATTGGTGACAGCCAACATGGCTTCACCAAGGGCAGATCATGCCTGATGAATCTAGTGGCCTTCTATGATGGGGTAATGACCTTGATGGATAAAAGATGGGCAACCGATGTCATCTACTGGGACTTGAGCAAAGAATTCGACACTGTTCCACACAATATCTTTGTCTCTGAATTGAAGAGGCAGGGATGTGACAGATGGACTGCTCAGTGGATTAAAAACTGGATGGATGATCACACTCAGAGAGTGGTGGTCAACTGTTCAATGTCTGAGTGGAGACCAGTGATAAGTGGTGTTCCTCAGGGGTTGGTGTTGGGACCAGTGCTGTTTAACATCTGTGTCAGCAAAATGAATGATGGGATGGAGTGCACCCTCAGCAAGTTTGCCGATTACACCAAGCTGTGTGCAACGATAGACATGCTGGAGGGAAGGGATGCCATCCAGGGGGACCTTGACAGGCTGGAGAGGTGGGCCTGTGCTAACGTCATGAAGTTCAACAAGGCCAAGTGCAAGGTCCTGCACCTGGGTTGGGGCAATCCCAAGCACAAGTACAGGCTGGGTGGAGAGTGGATAGACAGCAGCTCTGAGGAGAAGGACTTGGGAGTACTGGTGGATGAAAAGCTGAACAGAAGCTGGAAGTGTGCACTGGCAGCCCAGAAAGCCAATCGTATCCTGGGCTGTATCCAGAGAAGCATAGCCAGGAGATCAAGGGATATGATTGTCCCCTTTTACTCTGCTCTCATGAGACCCCACCTGGAGTACTGTGTCCAGCTGTGGAGCCCTCAACATAAGAAGGATATTGACCACTTGGAGCGAGTCCAGAGGAGGGTCACAAAGATGATCAGAGGGCTGAAGCACCTCTCCTGTGAAGAAAGGCTAGAGAATTGGGTTTGTTCAGCCTGGAGAAGGCTGCAGGATGACCTTATTGCAGCCTTCCACTACCTGAAGGGGACCTACAAGAAAGCTGGAGGGGGACTTTTTACAAAGACCTGTAGTGACAGGACAAGGGGCAACAGGTTTAAATCGAAAGTGGGAAGGTTTAGATTAGTTATCAGGAAGAAATTCTTCATGGAGAGGGTGGTGATACACTGGAACAGGTTGCCCAGAGAAGTTGTGGATGCCCCATTCCTGGAGGCCAAGCTGGACGAGGCTTTGAGCAACCTGATGTAGTGGAGGGTGTCACTGCCCATGGCAGGGAGGTTGGAACTAGATGATCTTTAAGGTCCCTTCCAACCTAAACCATTCTGTGATTCTACAATCCTAGGCTTGTTTATAATAATATGATTCTTTGAAGTATGTCAGTATCTACAAGTTTCTCCTGTTGATAAAATTGTCTGTATTTTCAGCATTTAAAAATGCCTCAGCCACTGCAGGATTCAGGTTTCTTTGTATTCCCTGGACTGATTTGGCATGTTCTAACCTTCCTTTTCACTCAGTTCCTGTGTAGTCATTTCTTGGGTAGGTACCAGGACTGTTTTTTTCTGGTTCCCTATCTTTCTGTATTTGATGATGTGCCAGTCTTGGCACATCATCAATATCCCTTGGTAACAGGTCTTTATTTGTTGTTGCCCAGAAATTACTGTAATTTATGAAAACAAATGAGATGGTTTTTATACCCTTGTGGCATCTTACTCATTCATGGCATCTGACTTGCTGACATAAGATAACCCAAATTATTATATTGCCTCATATAAGTACAAGAGTCACTTACATCTTCTACTGTCTTCCTAATTTGTGTACTGTGATCTTCTTTTGTCATGATCTGCCCTTGTTACATTCAGTCACTTATCTGGGTCACTTATAGAATTACAAAGGTATGCTGGAATTGAACCATAGAAGGCTTTTAGGTTTCTTTTAAATTTTTTTTCTTCATTGATGGTTTTCAGCAATGTTTACTTCTACTCAACTTTTGGAATAACGGGCACCATAGGTTTGCGAATAACAAGAAGATATTAACATGCACTACAAGCACCTAAAGTCTGGTAAAAGATGTCCTTCTCATAAACGGAAAGTTATGACTAGAATGTGAAATTATCAGTAAGAATCACTCCAGAAGGATGAAATGGGGTTAGATTCAGTAGGTTAATCTAGCTTTAAAGATTGAAGTATTCATACAATGAAAAAAATATTACTTTTAAAAAACAGTAGGACACTTGTCTGTTACTGGAAACAGTCCTAATCTATTTTAGTGAAGGAGGTTTTTACTTTCCTCATCTGTTATCATCCCATAGTTTGCTGATATGATGTTATATGTCACCTAAATTTTACCTTCAGAATTACACAGATGCCTTATTGTTTGCCTAACAAGACCCTGCTGGCAATCATCTCAAAAGAAAAAGAAGTCTGTCTGGCAATTGCAACAGCAATAACTACAATCTTCAGTCAACTAAACCCAAAATTGCAATCTAAAATTCCAGCTCAACAGCTGGAGAGGCCTTACCTCACTATGCACTTTCTGTTAGCAGGTCTAGTCTACTTGAAAGACTGGGCAATTAAAAAAGAATTTGGGACAGACTCAGTCATGGTCATGCCTGCAAATTTACAACAGTCAAAGTGAGAATATGTAGGTGGTTTTCTGTAAATTTTTTTGATCCTTGCTCAGCCAGTGGTATACACAGTGCAAGTTGTGTGTTTAGCCTTAGCTGATTATTCCACCAGGTACACAGTTTGGGGATGTCCTGCCCAGGTCAGATATGTCTCTGTATAGAAAGCTACAATGAGGTTACCATGGAAATTCACTTTTCTGGGACTGCTTTACCAATACTGGAGCATATAAAACTCTTGCACTGCCATGGCTGAGAGAGAGCAAATCTCTGGATTTTATTTCTTAAGTTGCAATTCAACATTCCTGCCCTTTTGGTGACTGGAGAAACTGCTTTTGCTCCAGACTGCTCATTGATTGAATGAGAATCGTATCTGTTTTATGGAGCAGACGCTCTCCTTTCTTATTCAACAGAGAGCACTAATTATTGAAGGGGCAGTATTAATCATGA